AACCTCCAGATAATTATCAAATGTTGTTTTTAGAAAAAACTTGTTATTTTATCTGTTCTTTTCACTACTGGATCTCTGTACAGGTTGGGTTGATTTGACTGACCTTGTAACTACCATAAAAAATTAGGAAATAAATATATAATATGCTTTTTTTTGGTTTTTTTTTGTTCTAGAAAGACGACAAATTATAAAAAAGAAACCACAAATGTTAAGTCTAAATAACTTAAATGTCATAGCATTATATATCTATATATATTTATTATTTTTATTATATGGATCTTTCATCCGTGCCTAGCTAACATTACAGAAGTTGCAATGACACGGTGCATGTGCACTCATATTACCGTATCCAAGAATATAACACTGACCTTTACAAAGTGACCTGTCTTGGCTGTGTGTTAGTGGCCTAGTATTTTGTAAAATACAGTCACATTTTGGTTATAATATGTTTTATATGTATAATTATTATTACTATTTACAAATAAGTTCTTAAACTTATTTTTCTTAAAACATAGAAAAGTAAATAAAGAAGTGTAGCAAACAATTATCTGTTCTAGTTATGAACTTTGTACTCGTTTGCTTCTTGCTGTAATTTGTTGAACCTTATCAAATTTCATACATGGAGAATGTGAAACATATTTTTTTTCTAGGTTTTATATATGCATTTTGAAATAACAAAATCATAAATTAGTGTATAAATACCAGAGAATTCCACTATGATTTATTAGACTTACTAGCTAAACTGTATTTGGGTCTAAAAAATATTATTTTTCGAGCCCAATAATGTCTTACCTTACTACTTGGAATCTACTATGAAAAGAATGGGTTTCCTGTGTAATAACCTTACAGAGACTCAGAGAACCATGAAAGTGACATTCTGAGCTTCCATTTGGTTATTCACACGTCACTGACAAAAGTAGGGGTACTTAAGCAAGTATTTCAAATAATGGAAAGAGGTGGGTGGGGCCACTGTGTTTGATTCAATAAATATATTAATATCTTAGAAAATAGAAAAGAGGAAGTTCTTATTTTACATTCTAGCTTGTCAATATCTGTAATTTGAGTTCCTAATTTGTAAGAAACAATAGACTTTGTATTTGGACATCATAAACATCTAATCTGAACCAATGCTGCATTCAACATACCACATGACACACAAAAATCAATATTTAAAATTTTTTTTAAATATTTACTTTTAAATTAAGAAATTAACTGATGTAAACTTTTAAAATTTGAATTATAATTTACAATTTGATACCAAACTTACTGACATACATTCATATAATAGTAGTTAAATAAATTTTTGAATGTAAGTCTACAAACATGATTACATGGCCTTTGACCCGTGACCATGGGAGGACCCATCAGACCCATTTTGGTAGGGCTAACTCTGAATACATAATTAGTCATATACTGCATCAACTGTATGTGTTGCAATAATGAATGAGAAATTAACATGTTAAGGGCTGACTGAGCATCTTATAATGAAGCATTAACTCTTTCCATATGGGGTTGGTCTATGTGACTGACCTTGTAACCATCAGAGTTTCCATCCTATTTTTTTTTAACATGTTTTATGTGTTTTCCCAAAATTCAACATGCTTTCAGTAAGCATTACAAGTCTTTTATACACAAAAAATCAATTTTTTAATTAAGTATTTTTACTAAAAACTTGTCCATGAATATATATGGAGACAAAATGTTAACTGCTCTGAATGCAACAATTTTCATATTAAGATTAAAAATACTTTTCTTCATCTGAATAGTTTGAACTTTCATTTGCATAACCTTGAAAACCTTTAAATAAGTATCAAATGTTTTTCTTTTTTTTTCATAAAACATTATATTTTATCTACCCTAACTCTATATGAACTCAATCAATTTGACCATAGAGAAATACAAAATAAATCTAAGTTCCTCATTTTTATTTCAAGAATGACTGCAGATTGTAACAGAAAAATACAATTGTTTATCCTAAGCTTAAGGCACATAACAGTATACATCTATTTATGCTTAATTTTAATGTTTTATTGCCCCTTTGATCTGAGTCTAATAATCCCACCCCATAAGTTATATATCACTCGGCGAATGCATATCTGACGTTATCATATGGAATAACGTAATGCACAAGCTGCTCATAAGCATACCTTGTGAAGGATTTTTTTTCATTATTTTTCCAAATTTAACATTATCTAACCTAACAAGTTTCTAATTTTTACATTACAATTACTTTTATAGTAATGAATAAAAAATATACATGCAAAACAAGATATGTAGTACTTACGTTTCATCTCTTGTTTTTTGCTGTTGATGCCAATGAAATTTAAGCTTACGTTTTTATAATGTACGATAAATAATTTTTATTTTCTCATATAATGCATCTAAGAACACAGAATAATAACATGCACAAAGCAAACAATGTTCTTTAACTATTTATTATTTAACTGGCTCTCTAACTAAGACAAGAGGGACTTTAATTCCCTTAGCTGCTTGATCTGAAACCTACAAGATAAATGTTCAAATTGGAGATAAAAGTGACAATACTCTGTACTGAAAACAACATAGCATTATACATCATTTAATAGATTAAACTTTGCCTTTCTATTGGATTTATATGATATAGTATAGAACATCAGAGAGAATTATTGGCAATTTGTGAAAGATTTGGCAAGTGTGTCTGATTTTCAAATGTATGACTCCATAAACAAATATGATTGAAGGCTATGAAAATTTGACTTTGCCTTAGTAATATATATATATATTACAATGAGTAATTAATGTTAAATTCAGCAGTTGAGGTAGGGTTGGTAAATAAATTAGAGAAGGAAGAAAACCTAAAGAACATGATTCTCATACTAGGGGAGATTGAGGATTTTTTAAAAAGATTTCTTTGTAAAATTTACAACTTAAAACTTGTATAATATTAAAATTGGATTTATTAGCTACATTTTGATGCCAAGTTTGTTTATATATATTGATAATAAAGTAGTTTAATTAAATTTTGGATTTAACTTTGTAAAAAGTTGTGACATATGTGCCTTGAGGGAGTTAACATATAGAACTAATTCTCCTGATACAGTACTTACCTCTTCTCACAAGATTAGCTATTTTCGTTCAGTGGTGCCTTCCATATGCAAACATTTTCTTTACACATGCCACAAGACTTGCTCTCCCCCCCTTGTTGGAATACATTTCAACGTGTCTCTCATCCAAATCATCTATTAACCAATAGTAGCTTAGTATGCTCACATTACGCATGTGACTTTTATATATATATCCTCATCTTACCCTTGCGTGAATGTTGGTACCCCATAGAGTAGGTTTTGGATGTAGTTGACTTGCTGATTATGGTCCGATACACTCTAGCCACTCTACACTTCTCACCCATGGGTTTTATAAATTATACTCAAGGGTGAAGAGTATACCTGGCTCAGAAGTGGTCCGTTTTCCCTCCTCTGATCTACGAATCTCTTTCTCTCATGGTCAGGGATATCCTTTGGACACTTTTAGGGGTGCTTCTGTTATTTCCTTGCACTAGTCCCTCTTCCTTCTTAGTGTGGAATTCTAGCTAATCTTCTGATTGGAGGTAAGTACCATATCAGAAGTTATTATT